TTTTTTTTTTTTTTTTTTGTTAAACTGGTTTTTCGCATTCATCTAATTATTTTATCTGATTTCGTGTCAATGCTAATCTTTTTTACTTGATCGTATATATGCAATATTTTCTTATTCACGTAGCAAGCGTGTAAATTGGCCATCTCAATTCACCAAAACGACAAACTTGAACCGACAATTTCGAATCGGAATCGGCCCAAAACCGGGATTTGGCCATATCTATCGATGGATGCCAAATTATGCCTAAGCGGTTTCCATGCCCAGCCCGGAACATGCTCTGTTACTTTGAATGTGTTTTCGCGGCCTTTGTCGAGACTCTTGTAAGTTGTAATGATGTAACATATTTTTTAATATATCATTAATCACCCGTAAATTAAAAATATTTGACCCGCGAAACAAGTTCAAATTATCCGACACTGTTATGTGATAATTTGCATTTATTTTGCAAGACAATGGCATGAATTCTGCCAATTCAACACAATAAACCCTTTTCTTCCCATACACATATATTGCATTGTCATTTGATGGATACAAAATAGAAGAAAATAGACCGACATCGGAGACTCTTCACTGATAAACACACGAAATGGATCAAACATGTCTGTATCCATGACAAGGTTCGTCCGTGAAAATGTCTAACTATGTTGACACTTTTTGCTATAAGAAATGATAACCCTTCAACTCTCGATTTTCGATCATTTTTTCTGGAACATGACCAGGCAGAAGAAAGCCAGCGTTCGGCTGAGTATGCCAGTGGCAAGAAGGAATGCCAGACGAGGATAGTAGTGATCAAGGTGGTAACCTCTTTGTCTTAGCGCCCCACATCTTTGAATTAGCCACACTCCGGAGTATCTGCAAGTTGGACATACCAACACAATAATGACCTTTTTCTTTCTTTCTTTCGTTCAATCGATTTGTTTCTACGTTGGTTATAGGGCTGTGTAATATTCTAACCTCTCAGCATTAGTCAGAAGAAATGCCTCCAAAGCCCACTTTGTATAGCAAAAGTCTCCTAATTTCGTGACGAACGTGTCTCCCTCTTGGTTGGCAATTAGGGTCAAAACAACAGGAAGCAACACCGACCACTGCAATGCATATATAGGTTTATTAAGGAAAATAAAACAAAAGTCAGTAAGAAAGAAAAAAACAAATAAGTGGAAAAGGAATATTCGGTTGAGGTGCTGACGAGCTGCGCTTGACCAGGTTCGAAGTAAATGGCAAGAACGTAAGCTATGCCGGTAACACAGTAGACGAGGCAAAGCAAGACGAGGTAGTTGTCAAAAATGGTGGAGCGTGGATTGTTGAAGAAATAGAACATTGATAAATAGACGGCGGGCTTCACTATGGTGTTGAAATGGTCGATCGTATCCTTTGCCAGGAAATAAGCCAGGCTGCTCATGCCGGATGCGCTTTCCCTCCAGTAGTGCAGCTTGTCCAGAGCAAATGATCTCAGGGCAGATATTTTACACAGTAGGGCTGTTTTCATGCATATATAGTGAGAATTTGAATACCGCGAGTAAATATTTTGTACATCAAGATTGGAATCTTTGAAAACTTACAAACAGCAATGACGGTGTAAAGGTATCCGGTGGAGCCGAAGGTCTCGTCACTCACTTTGGCAAGCGTCCCTAAGCAGATTCCGGCCAATAACAAGATCAGATAATCCACAGCTTGTATTCTGGCTTCTCGAAGTCTCTGCTTTCCAACTCTGTCGTTCAATCAAAACGCAAAGTACTACTACTAATTCACGTGCATATATATAAGGACTTGTGTTTGCTTATAAAAAATAAAAAACAAAAAAATACCTGCCGACAAAATACTTATACTGCTGGTGGAGACTGGGGGTTTTCCTATTGGATAAGTCCATGGACTTGTTGAAATTGAGAAAGATGTGATCCTTCTTCTGGCCCACCGTGAACTTGAGGTCCTGCCAGAGCTCTCCAGCAAAGGACTGGTCAGAGTCGGGTTTGGCAGAGGGGCCGTGGGCTGAGTCCTCTGGTGAGGCGGATGGAACCCCAGCGGAGTCGAGCATATCAGGGGGGACAGGATACCCGTTGTGGAGCATCCACCTCAGAGGAAGCTCTTTGAACTTTACGTCCGACCCAGCAGGAGGCTTCACGATCCCTTCAAGAATGTCGATGAAGTAGTCCGGGGGGTTCACCCTCTCGGGGACCACGATTCCAAGGCCCGAAAAGTACTCCTCCACCTTCTTCACAGGCCCGTGGTACACCGTTAGCCCGCCCTTTGCTAGGAGGATCAGGTCGTCAAACATCTTGAATAAGGTGTAGCTACACATACATGTATTGGTGTTTATCAATATTGTTTGCATACCTAGTATTGTATTGAATACAACTAGAAACTAAGAAATATTAATACTACAAAAGTCATAAATACCACCTTGGCTGGTGAACCACCATGCAAATATTCACTCCTTCCAGAGCTTCACGACGGAGGGCTCTGAGCAGTAGCAATGAAGAAGAGCTGTCGAGACCGGATGTGGGCTCGTCTAAGATCAAGAGAGAAGGTTCCATAACCATCTCAAGCCCCACATTTACTCTTTTCCTTTGACCTCCAGAAATCCCTCGTTTCTCTACTGTTCCTACCAATGAGTCTCTTACGGGCTGCAAACCCAAGGACTCGATTACTCTCTCCACTACTAACACTTTCTCTGCTTTGCCAATATCCGCTGGGAGCCTGAAAAAATAGTTTTCAAGTATTTGATCATTGTTAATATGACATGAGCAAGGACTGCAGAACTTTATTTCTAGAGGATTTCGTATTGGAAACAAGCAAACTGCACCAAGTTACATTTCGTCTCTAGTTGATTGAGGTAACAAAAAATTCAGTCTTTAAGTACCAAGTCAGCTTAAAATAATAATCCAGTCTTTGAATACCTGCACCGAGCACTGAACCAAAGATTCTCCTCCACCGTGAGATTCCCATGCACGATATCATCCTGCGGCACATACCCGATGATCCTCTTGTACGACTGCATTGGCTCATCCTTCCCGTTGATCAGAATCGAGCCCGTTATAATACATCCTGTTGCTTTCCCTGTGAGGGCCGACAAAAAGGTGGTCTTCCCTGCCCCGGATGGGCCCATCACGGCTGAAACATGTCCCGGCACCAGCTTTCCCGTCACACACCTCAGCAAATGCTTGTTCTTGCCCTTCAACGTTAGCGTCAGGTCCTGGAAAAACACCTCGATTGGGGGCCTGCTCGTGAACTCCAAGTCCGTGGCTATCGATATAACACCGGAAAAGGTCAAATTCTTGTTCTGCTCCTGGAGGGCCTTCTCCTTCTCGATTTGGCCGTACGCATATTTAAAAATCTGGCTCCGGGTCTGGAGCTGCTTGGCTTTGGCCGCATTTTTTTTCAAGTTTTTATCACCGATCTCCACGTTGAAGCCTTCCTCGTTGTCCGGGTTCTCCTCGAGGTCACGCATCATTTTCGTGAGGTTGCTTTCTTTCTTCTTCTTGTCTTTCGACTCGGGCTTTGGGATGCCGGAGGCCGTCTTGGAGGAGTCGTGAGCAACGGACTTTTTGCGGGAGAAGGTGCGCGAGAGCTGGGAGGTCAGCTCGCTTGCACCCTTTTTAGCCACCTCTTTGGCCGATTTCCATTTCTCACGGGCCTGAACGGTCTCCCGGGCACTCCGGGCTGCAGCCTCTCGGGATTTTGCCTGTTTTTTCTCACGGGTGCTCAGGACTTGGCCTGAGCAGTTGTAAATGATGAGGAGGACTAGGGTGATTCCGCCCTGCATTGTGAGTTAGTTTCCTTTTGAGTTTCTTGATCTTTATAAAGTATGAACAAAACGACTGGGTGGAAGCTTACGAAGAAGATAAGACCATAGGCTGTAATGTTCTGATTTACCGCTTGCGGCTCACAAGTGGCCAGCTGATAGCAACCTGAAATAATTCAACATACGCCGTAGAACCATTGTTTAATTTTCTTACAAAGATGACAAACCAATAGATTATAGAGAGGACTGGTGAATATCATTTCAGTCTTGAAGATAATTTCGAGATATAAACACTTGAACTTGTCATGCTCAAGTTAGTAAGACTAACCGCATACGTCGTGGATTCAAATTAAAAAACAATCGTATTTTTTTAGATAAACTACGCATAGCTTTCATAGAACACACTCCAACATGATTAAACTTACTTGTTTGAGCAATAGAACCAGCTCGGCAGAAATGTCTGCAAACAGATTGAGAAAATTCAGAAAATAAAAAAGACAGGCACAGCATATTATAGTACATCAAGTGAACGGTAAGTCATAAATGATATATATTCGAAACAAGTAGAGGATAACAGAGAGGGAATATCAATCATTATCATGACTGAATCATGCAGATGGAATATAAATTCAAAACGACATTACAGTTTGGAATCATAAAACCATACCCTTTACTGCAGGGGTTCTTTTGGGTGGTCGTGGGACAGTAAAACCCGGCCGAACAAAATATCTCTTTACCACTCAAGAAGTCTGCCCATATATCTGCTCCACCACAAGTATGATTCGGAATCCCTGGAGGCAGTTGATACCGATACCTACCAAATTTAACAGATCATCAAATATCAAATGTAAGCTACCGGTGTTAGTGAATTGTGATACTAAACCGAAATAAATTATTTATCTTTATATCACGACTTACGGGTCGCAAACACTTGTAGTTTTGTTGAGTTTCGCAACAGGACAATATGATCCCAACGGACAGGCTTCAAGTAAGATGGGCAGACCAAGTATTAGATATTATAACCTTTTACAGAACAACAAATTTCTTGAAAACCGAGTAAGAGTAAAAGGTCTTTACAAGTGAATAATCACCTATAGCTATTAGATATTCTCTACATGAAATAGATCAGAAAATGGAATCATAGTAATGATAATGGTATTAGAACGAACTCACGTATCATGCAGGTAAGACCACGAGGACAGAAAAAACCAGCGCAACAAGGCTGGCAGTCGATGTCTCTAAGTGGCATATCCTTTGAGTTTTTAAGGTCGACTTTCGCTTCTTTCCCGGCACTGCACGCCCAACCGGGTTCACAGCCCGAGGACCATGAAGACAAGTTACAGTTCTTGTTGGGTTTTAGGTAGTTACCACCACCCGTACCCCCACTTTGGGCGCTCTCTATTAGACTCGCCCCATAGAACTTCACTTCAGCCGCCGTACACAACCTCTGCACGGCATCTGCAAACTCATGTCATCAAACCACAGCCAAAACAATCAATCTCATGTAGAAAAATGCAGCTGGGCTTCAAATTTTATATATATAAATTTCATACCCCTGTCGGTTTTCAGACATTCACCCAAGAACTGCGAGTTCTTGGAGAAATTGAAGGCCGCATTCCACTCGGCATCCCTAACAGTAAAATCAGAAGGATCCAAAGTAATCAGGTGCTGAAAAGAGTTGAGATTATTGAATTTCATCATTCTCATAATAATGTGTTTGTTCTGTTTATCAGATAACAATGAATAACACTAGGTTTTGTGTAGATGAAAAATAATTACATACATGTCCCTGATGCAAAAGCCAAGGTGTTTGCCAACGTCGGGGCCGAGATAGGCGGAGACATTGCTGAAACGGCTGAACAGCGCCTGAGAGAGGAGCTGCATCGCCGCCGGGTTGACGTCTCGGTCTGAATCTGCGTCGGCGTCATCGCTCACGTCATCATCCGTGGCTGCATGAATCACCGGTACTATTGATGCCGCTGCGCCCAAAAAGAAACACAACGTAAGGGCTATAAATTTCATTGCCGCCATCGTCTCGGTTTCCCTTGGATTTCTCGATCATTGGCGATTAACGTTAAAGCTAACGGCTTTGTTTTGTTTTGTTTTTGTTTTTTTTTTTCTTTTTTCTTTCTGTTCAGAATGAGGAAGTGAGGAAAAATGTCGGAGTGTGGTTTGTCGGAAGAAGAAATGGCGGGGAGGTGATTTAGGGAGGTCCATGAGTTTTAACCGTCGGATTGGTTTAGTATTAATCCCTTGATTTAATTCGATTGACTAAGATAAATGAGGAATTCAATACTCTTTCCTATTATACAATCTTTTGTTAAAAAAATAAAAAGAATTAAAAATAACATCATTTTGGCTCAGGAGATGATCCATGACATCTCTCTTGGGAATCGGTTACGAGCCCCGAACCTTATGCTGAAGCTAGATATGGTTAAGGCATATGATAGGTCGAGCGGCTGTTTCTCTAGGAGGTTCTTTTTCGGATGGGCTTCCCTGTGCGTTGGATTAGTTTTGTGGAGGCGTGCTTGGAGCACTGCACGTTCTCGATCCTTGTTAACGGTAGCCTCACTGACTTTTTTCCTTCCACCCGTGGCTTCGGCAGGGGGACCCCTTATCCCCGTCCCTTTTTGTACTGGCGGCGGACTATCTATCCCGCTGCCTTGACAGTTTCATTCGCAAATTTTCCGAGGATGCCCTATAGCACGTGGTTATGGTCCTCCCATCTCGCACCTTTCTTATGCAGATGACATTATTATCTTCACTCATGCGAATAATAATGGACTAGCCGAGCTTATGCGCCTCTTGGGGCACTATAGTTTGGTTTCCGGTCAGCTTGTCGGTGTGCAAAAGAGCATTTTTACGCTGGATCATCACGAGCGCACTGGTTTTGCGCGTGGAGACATCCCCATCACTTACATGGGTGCCCCCCTATACAAGGACCACCTCTCACATGACCTTTTTATAGACGTCAGACAGACACTACAGAAAATAGAGTTCTAGTGAAGAATTTTTTTGTCACTATATCTACGATTGTTGTCACTATGTTGTCACTATATGATAAATCGTATTCTTGACATGTTAAATGTCATGTTTTCCATACTTTTTCGGTGTTTATTTGAGCTTAATTATTGATTTTAATTGATTTCTATAATTTTTGTAGGATATCTCAGAATTTGGAATTTATAATGATTGGAGAGCAAAAGAGACGAATTGAGCTAAGGCGTGGGCACGCTAATTTCCTACAAGAGTTGGAAGAAGAAATGAGTCTCAAGTTGGAAAGAGAAATAAAAGACTTTATGGAGTTATTATTTATTTATGGAGTATTTTAATTTATTAGGATATTTTGGAGAGAGAATATTATTTTTTACGTATTTTTCTAAGATTTAGGATTAGACTGAAAATCAGACTGCTAGGTATTATTTTTTCTCTCTCCTCTCTCTTTTCTCTTCTCTTCACGTCGTGTTTTATTTTTTTATCTGCTCTGGACTGGCGATCTGCTTTTGAACGCACGCACAACACTACAGACAAGATTTCTTCTGCTCTTTATTTTATTTCTACTGTCTTTATTATTTTTAGGATGAATATTATGAAGACTTCTACCATGTTTATGGATAGCTAAATTAATTTTCCAACCAAAGGATTACTCATGATTTGGTTCTACATGATTTGTGAGATCTAATTGAGTTTCAATTCCTTATTCTCTTTTATTCGTATTTCTCTTGTATTTATTATCAATTGTTATTTTGATTGATTGATGCAAAAGGAGCTCTTTGTTCAATTATCTGAATAGTATATCGCCATTTAGGACATTAAATCCGTAATTGTTTGATTGTTCTAATATTAGTGGCAGAGAACATAGTTGATTACTAAGGGTTTTTTTATTTTGTGTTTAGGGAGATATATGATCTAGTCTAAATGATCCTACATGTGTGTTTGTTGGCTAGAATTGGTGGTCCTTCTAGGTTTCAATGTCGTCGATAGATTAAATCCTATGATCGTATCTAGGACTGTCTGTTGATTGGAGAAATAATTAGTGATCGTATCCTGATTATCGACCAAGTAAGGAAGGACTTATTAGATCGTACCAATAACCATAACCAGTTTAATCGAGAGTAGGAGAATTATCTTTGCATCTATGATCAAATCATTGAACCATTTCTACAAATCTTTCCTTTGGTTGGATACTTTATTTCTGTGATCTACTTTAGTTAAATATTGAATCTCTCATCTTCGTGTTTATTTTAGTTGAATTTAATTTTTATCGTTTTGGGTAGTTTGAACATATCAACC